AACCTTATAATGTAATAATAACCTAATATAATATAATAATAACCTAACCATCCAGAGGAAAACTGAATCAGATCCTCAGTTCATTTAAAGTCTTTAGAAAACGGTCAAAAACACGAGATTATTAAAAAAAAACAAATGTTCACATCAAACGGTTTTTCCTTCAATAATCTGAACTGATATTCTTGTTTCTGTAGTTTATTGTCTTATGTTTTCATTTAAAGTCTTGTTTTTTCATTATGACCTGGAAACGTTTCCATGGTTTCGGTCGGATACCTTTCCACCCAGCTCTTGTAGTTGGGGATGTCCTTTGCGTACAGTAGCTTGTTAGACGGGGAGTCTTTGCCGAGCCGATGTTCGGACGTTGAACAGGAGTCCATGAAGGTCTGAGCCACGACCGACAGGCAGGCGTCGGTGATGCTGCTCTTATGGATGTCGAACACAAACTGAGGATTCTTGATGACGTTCACCCAGAACCTGAGAGGAAGGCTACAGACCACACAGAGATCTCCAGAGAGCCATTGTACCTCATGTGTAAAGAGCTACCAGTCATGTGACTCACCAGTTGCTTTTCCAGGTGTGCCGAACATCTGGGTCAGTAATCTGCCGTTTGTCGGCCTGTTCGTCCAAGAAGTCAAACATGTATTTAATGGCCAACGGGAGCGCCGAGCAGCGATGGGCAGTGCTGAACACTGTCTCAAACAGGTCGTCTACAAACTTCTGCAGCGTCCCCTGGTGATGGGAAGAGCCGCATGAATCAAAGACTAAACTGGTAGAAAAAGAAGTTCTGATGGTGGTCCAGCACAGGTAGCCCCTAACACACCCCAAAGACCTGGAAAAACCAGACTGAAATCCCCTCTATCAATATGCTGTTCTTATGATGAGGCTCCAGGCTTAGTGGATCAGAGGCCAAGAAGGCTGGCTCCTCCCCTTTGTCCTCTGACACATTGGAGCACCAGGGCCAGGAGAACCGTTAGAGCTTCGTGGGTCAAGAAGCTAGTCTAGCAAACCCATTAATGTCCAACACTGTTTCTAGGCTTATTTGTGTCCTCAAGGTTGAAGGGTGCCATGCCATATTCTTCAATGGTCTGTGGGGTGGGGTATAAACTCTGGAGACCACACTGCTGAGGTCTGGTGGACTGTGGTGTGGGTTACCTTGGTGGCCAAGAGTCTGGTCAGGTAGATCTCAGAGACCATCTTGCTGCCTCGGTCTCCTTCTCTCTGGTCGCTGTGCTCATGATTTTTCACCAGATGCCAAAGTTTAGTTCCTGGAAACACCAAATCTGCTTCAATAACAAAACAAAACCTCAAACCAGAACCCTCCAGAACCCTCTAAAGGTTCCAGATTTCCTCTGTAATGTTCAGGTCTTCAGTTAAAAGACTGAGATGACAGTTTTTACTCAATCTGACACAAAAACATGAACGGTTTTGGTCTTTTCTACAAACGGCTGGTATTCAGATGAACATCATGACCTGTTTTGTTCTGATGCTCCTAGAGTACCTGTCTCCTGATCCGGTGTAATCATCGGAGCTCTGGATCTCAGGCTGTCAGGACTGCTGGATGTCCGCAGTAACGACTCTGAGGGTACAAACAGAAACCCAATATGACACAAACACCTCCAGACCCTGAGAGAACATGAAGGATCCTAAAAACAGAATCAGTTTTGAACATTTCTGCTGTGGACAGAAGATCAGACACAAAATTTGTTGTAAATCTGGATTAATCTGAATCCCAGAGTTCAGGAAACAAATCTGAGCCTTTAAAGGTCCAAAGAAATGATTACAAGAGCTAGTTAATTGAGAAATCTGCATAATACAGTATCCACGCTCTTGGACCAGAACTACTTTTAGATCTTTGAACATGAATGACAAACTTCAAACCTAAAGGGGTAACTGAGACTACTGCTCCAGTGTCTCCAGCATCTCCAACGTCTCCAGTGTCTCCAAAGTCTTCAGTGACTTCAGGCTCATTGTTAGCTGAGACGTTGGCCCTACTTCCTGACGTTGCACGTTCATGGTGAGACGTATTGTGCCACTTCCTGTTTTCTCTGCTGCAGCTCGAGTAATTTGTTTGTTCGAGTCGTCTGTTTTCTGGATTTATCTTTTGCAGTTTTTCATTCTAGTTCACAAACACACTCAGTACAGTTGTTTCTCTACTGTTGGATAGTGCTTAAACACCTCTTATCTTTCAACACTTCTCAGTTTTTATTGGTGTATGTAGCTCTGCTAGCTCCTGCTAGCGTTAGCTTAGCATGGCTGCTGCTTCTCTCCCTGCTTCCTGTTCTCTCTTGCTCCGTGTGTCAGATGTTTAGTTACTCCTCTGCCTCCTTTAGTGCAATAGGAGTTTCTGCGTAAAAATCGACAATTTTATGTCTTCCACTGCTCCTCTTCCACATGGTGTCCCCCAGGGCTCAATCCTTGGTCCTCTTTTATTTGCCCTTTACTTACTCCCCCTTGGCTCGATTTTTAGGAAGCATGGCATTTTATTTCACTTTTATGCTGATGATTGCCAGATCTATTTTCCCATGGCACAAAACAACACAGTTCAACAACTTACACACTGCCTTAATGATGTTAAGACATGGTTCTCTCTTAACTTCCTTAGTCTAAATGAGAACAAGACTGAAGTTATGATGTTTGGACCAAGTTGCCGTTCCTCTCCCAGCATAGATCTTGGCTCACTGTCATTTTATCTCAAGGACTGTGTCACCAATCTGGGGGTGAAGTTTGAGTCTGATTTTAAATTTGAAAAACAGATCAGCAGTGTTGTTCAGAAAAGTTTTTATCAGCTCCGCCAAATAGCAAAAGTGAAACCAATCCTAGCAAGACCTGACTTGGAGAAATTAATCCATGCTTTTATCACAGCTTGTCTTGACTACTGTAATGCGCTGTATGCAGGCATTAGCCAGACGTCTCTTGCTCGTCTGCAGCTTGTGCAGAACTCTGCTGCTCGCCTGTTAACTCAGGCTCGTAGGCGCGAGCATATTACTCCCATCCTGGCATCCCTTCATTGGCTCCCTGTGCACTACAGAATTAATTTTAAGCTTTTGCTGTTTGTTTTTAAATGTCTGAACAACCTTGCCCCACCATATCTGTCTGAGCTGCTTCAGCCTTACTGTCCACCCCGATCCCTACGATCAGCTGATCAGCTGCTGCTGACAGTCCCTAAAACTAGGCTGAAGCTCAGAGGTGACAGAGCGTTTGCTGTTGTTGCTCCCAGGTTGTGGAACACTTTACCCTTGAGTGTCAGACAGGCCTCCTCTCTTCCTGTTTTTAAATCTCTTTTAAAGACACACTTTTATTCTTTGGCTTTTAACACGTGATCTTATCTTTTATGGCTTTTTAATACACCTGCTGTGAAACTGGTATGTGAATGGTTTTTATGTTTCTTTGTTTGTGCTTTGTATGTTTTTATTGTCTTGTTTGTTTTTATTGTTTTATTGTGCAGCACTTTGGCTACCCTTGTGGTTTTTAAAATGTGCTATATAAATAAAGTTGATTGATTGATTGATTGATTGATTGATTGATAATGATACATGTAACAAATGTAGTCTTATGGTAGCTTTGGAGGAGAGGCTGTCTGAACTGGAAGCTCGGCTCCGTGCTGTAGAAAAACCAGTAGCTAGCCAGGTCCCCTTAGACAGCGTGGAACCACAGAGGCTAGCTCCCGTTAGCGGTCCTCCAGCAGACCCCGAGCAGCCGGGACCCCAGGCCGGCTGGGTGACAGTCCGGAGCAAGCGTAGTGCTAAGGCTAAGCCCCCAGTTCACCACCGACCCGTTCACATTTCTAATAGATTTTCCTCGCTCAGGGACACACCTGCTGAGAAGCAGACCCTGGTTACTGGAAGCTCCATAGTCCCAAACGTGGCTTTAGGGACTCCAGCGGCCATAGTCAAATGCATTCCGGGGGCCAGAGCGGGCGACATAGAATCTTATCTGAAACTGCTGACTAAGGCTAAGGCTAAATACAGTAAGATTGTTATTCACGTCGGCGGTAATGACACCCGGTTAGGCCAATCAGAGGTCACTGAAATTAATGTTGCTTCGGTGTGTGACTTCACTAAAACCATGTGGGACTCCGTAGTTTTCTCCGGCCCCCTCCCCAACCTGACCAGCGATGACATGTTTAGCCGTATGTCGTTGTTTAACCACTGGGTGTCCAGGTGGTGTTCTGACAACGATGTGGGCTACAAAGATAACTGGAGTTCTTTCTGGGGAAAACCTGGTCTGATGCGGAGAG